GGGACCGTCCCCAGCCGTCCGGCTGATGCACGCGCCTCCTTTTCAGCCGCATGTTCATCTCCAGGCAGCAACGCGGCTCCTCCCTTCCTCCCCTCAAAGGAGGGAAACAAATCTGCCGTCGCTGCGTTCATCTGGGGGAGCTTCTAAGTAACAAGGGGAGCTGAGCTCGCCCTTAGGTTGACGTGCAGCCATCACTCTGGAGCACAAGTCTTACGAGGAGCAGCTGAGGGAACTGGGGTTGTTCAGTCTGGAGAAGAGGAGGCTGAGGGGAGACCTTATCGCTCCCTACAACTACCTGAAAGGGGGTTGTGGCGACGAGGGTGTTGGTCTCTTCTCCCAAGTAACCAGCGATAGGATGAGAGGAAATGGCCTCAAGTTGTGCCAGGGGAGGTTTAGATGGGATATTAGGAAAAATGTCTTCACCGAGAGAGTGGTCAAGCATTGGAACAGGCTGCCCAGGGAGGTGGTGGAGTCACCATATCTGGAAGTGTTCAAAAAACGTGTGGATGTGGCACTGCAGGACATGATTTAGTGGGCATGGTGGTATTGGGTTGATGGTTGGACTTGATGATCTTAAAGGCCTTTTCCAAGCATAATGATTCTGAGTTTCTATGATCTGAGATCCAAGGAGGAAGATGGAGCCACCCTGGCAGCGTGTGGCTCTGTGCTCTGTGCCTGGCAGGGTGACAGGGCAGCAGAGTGGCAGGGCAACAGGGTGACAGGGTGGCAGGGCGGCAGAGTGGCAGGGCGGCAGTGTGGCAGGGCGGCAGGGTGACAGGGCGACAGGGTGGCAGGGTGACAGGGCGGCAGGGTGGCAGTCCTCTGCAGCGCAGGGCAGCTCCCTGCAGCAGGAGAGGGACGATGTGCTTGTCCAGGGAAACATTTTGCTCAGTGAAAGCCATGCGAGCCCACGTGGGCTGTGGGCACTGGTGCCAGCTCTGCGCCCTGCGGCACAGGCCCAGCCCCGGGAACGGCCCCGCAGCAGTGCTGCACCGCGGCCTTCTCAGCAGGGTTTCAGGTGCGGTGCTCCCCAGCCCACAGAGATGTGGGCTGGCTCCCCACACTGTTTGTGTACGGCGGGCGTGAGCCTGGGGCCCCAAACGCAGCCGTGACACACCCACACAGCCACCCCGCGGGGACGTTTATCCCCGGCAGCGGCTGAGGAGGGGCTGGGGGAAACTGCCCGAGAGCC